TCTCCAATAGTGAAGTCAAATTAACATCAGAAACAGTGAATTTGAAGAGAAATTCAGAATTCAATCACAATGTTTTTGTTGTTGTTTTTTGATGGTCTCTTCATGTAGAATATTGACAATCCAGAATTCATTTGTTTAGATAGTTTTAATAATATTGTTTGTGCTGTACATAATCATCATTCAAAAGTAAAAATATATGTGAGTTGTCAGCAGGTAAGGGCAAACACATGATAATGAACTACAGAAATGGTTTGCCATTTTCAAATTATTTAAGCAAAAAAAAAAAAAAAGTTACAAATTGTTTATACAGTTCATTATGTGGAGTTCGGATGTTGGCCTTACTGTCCATTTCCTATATTTATTTTGTTGTTTTTGTCACCTTTTTTTCAAGTTTTACAAAAAAATATTTTGCAGTAAATATTGAACTGTTTTATAAGCATAAATTTATGGTTTGGTTTTTTGTGTCTTACCAATGAATAAAATTGACAATGAATTTTGTGCTCAGAGGAACTTGGAAAGTCTAAGCTTCTACCAAAACTCCCAGCGTCCTGCTCCTAGAGTTCAGCTCCAGCACGCTCACCTGGAAGCTTCTAGTGGGTCTGAAGAGCTTGATTAGCTGCTTCAGGTGTGTTGAATTCATTTATTTGTACACCTTTGGTAAAGACTGATTGAGAGTGTCTTTATGTCACTAAACACTTCAAGATACATGACCGTGTCAGTTTTTTATATATATATATATATATATATATATCCAGAATGTGTGAACGGCAGTGTCGTAACAGATAATATTGTGTGTTCTTCCGGGGTTTTCCCCCCTAAAAATATAGGAGTCCTAAAACACATTTTTCTAGATCTTCTGAATTACTAGAACATTACAAGCCGGTGTGTTTGATCAGGGTTGGAACTAAACTGCAGAACGGTAAATAAAAGAATAAATAAATGCAATGATTACTAATTTAATAAATACATTAGTAAATACATACATGTATGGCTAAAATATGAATTATAAAACGGAGAGTTCCAGTGCTTGATTCTGATTGGCTGAGCCGAAGCTGTTGTAAATTACTCTACAAAGTAACACACCTTTGTTTACGTCCGTGTGTTGCTCGGCAACCACTTTGTAGCAACCACAACTGTTTCTGAGGAGCTACATTGTTTGGTGGAAGAATACTGTTTTTATTAATATCATTACACTTTTACAAGCCGGTGTGTTTGATCAGGGTTGGAACTAAACTGCAGAACGGTAAATAAAAGAATAAATAAATGCAATGATTACTAATTTAATAAATACATTAGTAAATACATACATGTATGGCTAAAATATGAATTATAAAACGGAGAGTTCCAGTGCTTGATTCTGATTGGCTGAGCCGGGTTCAAAGCTGTTGTAAATTACTCTACGAACACACACCTTTGTTTACTTCCGTGTGTTGCTCAGCAACCACTTTGTAGCAACCACAACTGTTTCTGAGGAACTACATTGTTTGGCGGAAGAATACTGTTTTTATTAATATCAGTACACTTTATTTGCTCCGTTTTATTTTGTGAAACCTTACTACGTGTATGGAATAACCATTTTATAAAAGCAATAAGCCTCGTGAAGCCGTGGTTTACAATGAATTTATAACAGCTAAGGAGGTTTTAGGCACTCCGCTTCGCACTGTGCCTAACAACATGTCAATTTGCTCATTCACTTACATTCTCCTCATTTCTCTGTTTCTGTGTGCTGCTGTAACAGATGAAGAGAAGACGGTGTCAGTAATGGAGGGAGAATCTGTCACTCTAAAAATTGATGCTGAAATACAGGGAGATGATCAGATCCTAAATTCACTGTAAACCACGGCTTCTTGGGGCTTTTTGCTTTATTTTATTATTATTTTTGTGCAGTATACATATAATTCAGATTTCCTCTTTTTTGCCTCCATTTTGCCTGGCTTCTGAGTGTAAGGGTAATAATGATAGTCCATTCCTGGCAGGTGCCTCAATGCATCAAAAACACGTTCCCTGAAAGAATAAGGAAAATACATCCATACATACAGTTACAGTCCAGTGGCCCACTTCACCAAGGTTTCAGGGGCTACCCAGGTAATTTCATCTCTTCTTCAGATGTTCATCACTTTTGGTAACTCACATGGCTAATCTCTTCAGTTTTCTATTTATATAATTACTTATTTTCTATCTATATTGGTTTTATTCTGGGTGTGGGATCACAACCCCAAACTGGACCAGTCAGCAGTGAGCAAAGTGACACACACACACACACACACGCACACTCGTACACTCACACATACACACACACACGCTCACACACACTCACTCACACACTCATACACACACATGCTCACACACACACACACTCACACACACGCTCACACACAGACACACTCGTACACACACACACACACACACACACACACGCTTTTTTTCAGCTGCCTTGGTATATATTCTGTTTCCCTACTCCCTACTTGTAAATGCATTTGAATAAAATATATTTTTCATGACAACCAGAACGAGAAATGAATCTAACTGGCGCTCTGCATGTGATTGGCTGGATCAAACACTGGGTTGATAGAGAACGTTTTTATCGAGCATTGTGTCAACTCTAAACCTCCTCTGAAAGCCAGAGTTTG